TACCGAAAATAATTACATATTTCGCATTGTTTTGCTAGCAGTAACTTACAATATTCTCTACTCCAACTGTTCGAACAGAACTGCTCACATAAAACACACGAAATGTGTGTCATCGAGTAAGAATTGGATGGGGAGATTCACATCGCGACATGCTTCTGTGCAAGCAGACACGTAACGGGGACGGGTACCTTGACGGGAGGTGCGTCGGACTACTGAGCATGTCGGATTAAAAAACGTCGGACTATAGAGGGATAACTGTATTTGTAAAATTTAGGTTGGAAATAAACAATGAATATGCTGCTGTATCAAAAAGCAAAATTTTTATATTATATAAATATATAGAATAATAAGTTTATTACTATTAGGATTAGTCCTGTTGCAGAGGCTTGATTTTATAAATAAAATAGATACAACAGTTTCTGTTTACATTTAAACATATTTGTATTACATTATTAATACTTTAACAATTTTACAAAAAAATCATAAAAACTATACATCTCCATTTTTGATAATTTTCCTATTTGTCTTCAGTACTTATGATTTGTTGAAAAATTAGTTATTTTTATTCAATTTTTAATTGTGAAGTATAAGACTATTTACCAAAATATATAATATTTTTGTAAATAGTCATATATTTCAAAATTAAAAATTGAAGAAAAATATATCCTGAGTAAACATTAAACATTGTATTATTATTTTTAATACATTGTCATTAGTATGCAAAGAATTCATTTTGTCAGACTTGAATATCAGATGATCCAGAGAAAATTCAGTTTTGTTGTACCATAAACAATTCTGACTGAAAAATTTTATGTAAACTTTTTCTATATATAAAGATTATTTATTTAAATGTAATTGTGCAAATTATCTTTTAACACTTAATACCATTGGTGAAAAATATATAGTAGAAAACCAGTCTTCTCTAATATTTTTTTGTCTTCTCTTCTTTGTATTAAATGCCCATAATCTCATTTACTGTATATACATTTTATGAATAAAATATGCTACTAATACCTGCTTCTTAGTGTAAATAAGAGATGTAATAAGTATATTGGTATTATAGTATATTGGGTTTAGCAATGTTGTTCGTTTAAATATGTAAATGCATACATATTTAAACAAACAACATTGTTAAACCCAATATACTATAAAGCTAGACACCAACCAAAGCTGAATGCTATCAGGATAGAAATAGATATATTTCTAAATAAATTATGCAAACAATTTGGCACTAGAGGAAAGCATTAAGTGCCATCTCTTAATAACTTTAATAATCATAATTTTTAATTAATTAGTTTAAATAATTTAGAATTACTAAAAGAAAAAATTGGCCCGGAGCAGGACTCAAACCCACAATTCCTGCTTACCGTGCAGATGCATCACCAGTTACGCCACCCGGACCTCCAGTCCGATCTCCTCTTCCAGTATATATATATAACTTACATTATAACCATCAACGGTTATTACAATGCATACATATTTCTTATTCTGATTGTTTTGTAAGTATGAATATTAATGAGAAAGAAAAAAATCTTTTTCATTTCAACAAAATAAATATTATCCTTAAGAATTGTTAAATTGTACATATGTGAAACTATAATTTTAAAAGAAACAATTCACTTAACTCTAAAATGAAAAATTAATTAAATGATTATTATGTGGTGTGAATTTACTGTTGCTAGGATTTAGGTTGAAATATAACTCAGACCCAAAATTAATTGTGGACAGTACAAATTAGATGTTATTCTTCATCTCTCATTTGTGCTGACTGACTCTATGGTTGGTTAGACCTTTCCATAATGGGTAAAATTATGGTCAGCCATATAACCTTAATATGCCAGTGTCTCATTTAACAAAGCAACCAATTAAAATAAAAAAAATTAAAACTGAAAATAACTAAAAACCTCCACTTATTTTTGATTATTTCTAAACTTTATAATGTAATTTATTTGCTTCTCGCTTTCTTAAACTATAGGCTCAAAAAAAACAATGTTTTTAAAAAACAGCATTAATTTAGAAGGAAGTGGGTTATAAATGGAAAAAGAAAATTAATAGATTGTTTTAATACTACGAAATACAATTCAGATAAAATTTTTATGATCATTATAAGATACAATATAACAAACATAAAAAATTTAAAATAATAAAAAAAATATATAAAATAATATAACATAAAATTCTAAGTGATAATTATATTTATTACTGTTCTTATTCAAATAAATTAATTATTAATATTTATCATACATACTTTTGTTCCTGATGCGTCAGAATATTGAAGTCCAAAGTAATCAACTTCTAAAAGATTCAACATTCTACAAACCTGTTCAAATAATATATGTCCCAGTGTTTTATACTGCAATAAAAAAAATAATACATATTAATAATAATATATAATTGTACTGTACATTTAGAGTACATTTTAAGATTAAAAAAAATAAAATCATATTAAATGTAGTAATATTATATAACCAAGGATGGTTACATCATATTTAAATATGTCTGGAAGAAGAGATTAGAACGGAGGCTCAGGTAGAGTAACTGGCAACACATTTGCACGGTAAGCGGGAGTTGTGGATTCAAGTCTGCTCCAAGCCGATTCTTTTCTTTTATAATATTCTAAATTATTTAATTTATATTGATTTAATTATACTTATTAAATTTAATAAGAGATGGCACCTAATGCCTCCCTCTAGTGACAAATTATTAATTAATTAATTAATTAAATACAATTGCAGAAAAGTATCCTGATGTAATCCAGTGGTTGTTTGGCTTTAGAAACATTGAAATTTATCTGTTGTATATCATCATCATCAGCTTTAGCTTGTTCTACCATTTCAAATTATGGTGTAGCCTCCTTTACATAATTATCCTCCATTTGTGCCCATGTTTGCCTATCATTTGCTTCTTTCCACCATGTTGTGCCTGCTTGTTTCTTATGTCATAGTCCCATCTTAATTTTGGATGTCCTTTGGATCTCTTGATTCCCCGTGGATACCACATCATAATTCTCATGGAACATATGTTGTCAGTCCTTCTTGCCAGATGTCCTGCCCATTGCCATTTGAGAGATTTAATTCTGTGGATCACATCAGTTACCTGGGTTATCTGTCTAATCCACTATATTCTTTTGTGATCTCTCTTGGTCATTCCTAGCATTCATCTGTCCATTGATCTTTGGGCAACTTGGAGTTTTGCTGTTATTTCTTTCTTTAGTGTCCAAGTTTCACATCCATAAGTCATGACTGGTAGTATGCATTGATTGAATGCTCTTTTCTTCAGAGAATGGATTGGCATTTTAGACCTAAAGATTTCAGAATTTCGTCTGAATGTAGACCATGCTAGTTTGATCCTCATGTTGATTTCTGGAAGTAGTGAGTCAGATTTGTGTGTTATACTTGTCTCAAGTATATATATTCAACTACCATTTCTAGTGTGATGTCATTTATTGTTATGTCTTGATTGTACATGACTTTCGTTTTCACCAGTTCATTGTACATGACTTTCGTTTTCACCAAGTTCATTTTAAGGCCAATTTCATCACTAACCTTGTTTAAATTGTTGACTACTTCATGTAGTTCTGCAAGATCTTTAGCTATCAGGATGATATCGTCAGTGAATCTTAGATAGTTGAGGCGTTCTCCATCTAAAGATATATCTTTGTTCTTCCAGTCTATTTTACATTTTCTAGGATTGCCGTGAAGAGCTTGAGTGATATTAAGTCTCCTTGTCTAATACCTTTGTTTGTGGGAAATTCTGGAGTGTCATCATATACTGTATTTTCACTTTAGCTTTTGCTAATTGCTGTTTAAGATGATTGAAAACATTTGTCACTTACTTATTAAATATTTTTTTTCTGGATTTCTATGCTATTGGTGTGTGTTTTGTTAACATTTTTCTTAAAATTTGTATGAAAAACAATTATAAAATTACATTTAAACAAAGAAATTTGTTTTTTTTTTGTACCAACACCTAAGAAATGAAAACCTAAAAATCAAAAATTTTGATCTTAATTGCATTGTTTTGCTCTTCAATAAAATTTACTTTTCTGACTTAAGGTATCTTTTCATAGATTACATCATACTGTTTTTTATATTACAATTACAATGTAGGGCCATTAAGCCACAGTGATTGGGGTCCAAAGTGCTTAACTGCAACTTAAATAATTTTTGATAATGCATAAATTACAATAAACAATGAAAAAATAAATATTTTTTGATTAACGGTCTTGAAATTAATAATAAATTATTATTTAAGAATAACAAAATATCAAATACATTTAAAACATTTTATTTCACATCTTTTCATAAAAATTACTACTGTGGATTTATTGCGGATTAACTTTGTAGCATTGTAAGGTGTGAATCAGTTACAATGGCGGCTTCCATAACACTGACACTCAGTGTGGATAAAACAGATTAATACTGTATTTGAATTTCATTGTAAGTTATTTTATTGTTTATTGATAAATAAAAGACTAATCTTCTATAAATACCTCTTTAAAGTTATAAGCCAGCATTTAAATATTTAATCTGCGATAGTTCATAGCACGTCAATCATGGACATTTGAAATGCCAAAATGACAGCTGTCAACACCTGCCTCAAGTGTTTGAGAGGCCATGCCCAGGTCCGTACGATCTATAGTGTCAAAAAATTGGGATCCAAGCTTTTTGCACTGCTTAAGTGAATTCATGGATTAAGCCCACAGCTTAATGGCCCTACACTGTAAATGACTGTATTTAATTTTTAGTTTACTAATGTTGCTTTTTTATTTCCTGGCTGTTATACTGTATATAACAGAGGTAAAGTATGTCAATTGGTAAAAAGGACTCCCAAAATTTTTACATTTTTGGAATCAGGAGATCTTGAAATTTCTTGATGTTTCAAGAAAATCAAGAAGATCAAGAAAAGTAAAAAAAGTTGAGATTTTTTTTTCTATAATGTACGTATATAGTCTGTGTTTGTGGAGGAGTCAATTTTGTTCACCCATTTTAAAGTTTAATAACTCCTGTACTTTTTGTCAAAAATTTCTAAAATTTTTCAGGGAGGTTTGGGTATTAGGGGCATTGATGTTATTAAATTTTAGTGGTTAAAGGTCAAGAGGGTAGGGAGCTAGAGAGGGATCACTTATCATATCTTGAGTGGGAGTTGGACTTAATGAAGATTTTACTTGTTATTAGCAGTTACATTTTCTTATGAAACTCAATTCTACCCTCAAAATTAAGCTTTTTGCCTTTTATAATAATTAATTATATAAATTCTAAAAAGTTTTTTAAAAATAAAATATCATAAAATATGGTACCACATACAATTTTATCTTTATTGCTGGGAAAGTTATGCATTTCATTGATGGATTTTTTAACTGTAAATTCATTCACAACAATATTTATAAATATATTTTACACGTTATGTTGTTACAGTATTGGGTTAACACATAAGTTTGTACTGCTGACTTTAGAACTGAATTATGATGAAATATGGATGTGAAAATTCAATCAACTATGTATTTATGTTTGTGACCTAATGTTTGTTAGGTCAGGAACATATGGCATTTCCTACATAAGAAGGATTGCCGTTGGTCACAAGCACAGTGATAATGATAAATTAAAGAAGCACCAGATGCACATTCACTTTTGTTGGCATCAGTGAGATTGAGTGGCACCTATACTCCAGCAATAACACATGCATAATAGGAATGTGATAATATGAAATGAAATATTTCCAAGCATTAACAGCAACAATTTCACTAAAAGAAAAAAAGGCAAAATAACATGGCACAAACTTATACATAAATTCAATAACTTGTATTTTTATTTCTTCAATTCAATTAAGTTCTATTTAAAATTTTGTAAATTTATAAAAAGTTCTGCTATAAAGAAAGTACTTACTTCTAACCTTTACTTTCTTTTATTTTAATGTTGTATGTGCCTAAATGTTTTTAATACCATTAAGAAACAACTTAAATTTTTTTATCCATTCCTATAATCTTTACCAATCAATTAACATAAAAATTAATAAAATTAGTTAATAAACTTCTATCTAAATTATCAGCATTTGTTTGAAGATTGTGTATAAATAGGACTCCATGGAACAGAAATAAAAATTATGAGTATATACATTCTATTAACAGTGGAAAGAAGTTAAAATCTTATATTTGCCATTCAATGTTATAATAAAATTTTCCATAAAATCAGTTTTAATTAAATTATAAAACCTTGCAATACTCCAACTTTACATCTTTCTGAAATTTGGAATTATGTGATAAAGTAATATTATATTTCTGCAAAATGCTTTTTTAATTATTTAAAAAATGCAAATTTCTTTTGTAAATTTTTCAATTTAGAATATGTATTTTATAAATTATTTATTTAATATTTTAAGCTTATTCAAATATATTTAATGTTCTAAACTATAAAAACAATCCCTCATATCTTTAAATCCAACACATACATGTTATTCAAGTAACAAACACCTTATTTTTTGCCAAGGGAGTTTTATTAAAAAACTAACGTTTTCGATCTACTCCATAGATCATCTTCAGGTTTAAACATTCAAATTTGGAATAACAAAAAATAGAACACCAAATTCAAATTCAAAGAGATAAATACCGATAACGTAGCAACTAATTAAAATAAAAGTTAAAGCGTAAAAATACATAAATGTAAAAATAAATAACATACAACCATTAAATATTATTATTGTAAGCAATTGCGGATATGCAATTGCAGATTACAATAAGCAATTGCGGATATATGCAATAAGCAATTGCGGATATATGCAATAAGCAATTGCGGATATGGCGCAATTCAAGAGCTACTTGTAAGTTTTTTAAGTTTTACGAGAACCAGCAGTTAGGAATAGAAAAGGAGTACATAGGAGTTACAACGAGAAACCTAGGAATAAGGGTTAAAGAGAATAAATACGATATTAGAAAAAGATCTAACGCAACAATTCTGGCCCAGATGGCTCAGGCCCAAGGATCCGTAGTTAGATGGGAGGATGCAGAAATCATCAAGCAAGTGCACTCCACAACTTTAGCGAAAACTGCTGAAAAAATGGAAATATATAGGAGCAAGCTAAATGAAAAATGCATAAACGCCAGAGATGCAGAGGGCCTACCCTCAGCATGGAAGTACGCCGTTCAAAAACTTAAAAAACTTACAAGTAGCTCTTGAATTGCGCCATATCCGCAATTGCGTTATGGGAACCATAATGATTTTTATTGGTTAAAGGAGAGTGGCTTATAATAATAATATTTAATGGTTGTATGTTATTTATTTTTACATTTATGTATTTTTACGCTTTAACTTTTATTTTAATTAGTTGCTACGTTATCGGTATTTATCTCTTTGAATTTGGTGTTCTATTTTTTGTTATTCCAAATTCGAATGTTTAAACCTGAAGATGATCTATGGAGTAGATCAAAAACGTTAGTTTTTTAATAAAACTCCCTTGGCAAAAAATAAGGTGTTTGTTACTTGAATAATTATTTTGCCGAGTACGTTTCTGTTCAACATACATGTTAATTTTCAATGTTGGAATATGTCATCTTGTTAATTTATTTTTAATCTATGTGGAAGTCCAACATATGCAGCCAAACGGTTGAGATTCTAAAGCTTTAAAATTTTGAAATGCAAATTGTTCCAAAATACATCTTTCATTCTTATTTCTAAATTGTAATCAGTTTTTATCCTGAGAAAAGACATTTAAAACACCTGAAAATGTTAGGTAAAGTAAAATTCACACTGTATTTAAAGATATGAGTGGTTGTTTTTATAGTTTATGATGAATACTGTTTTACTGAATAGTTTAATGTTCTAATTCTGTGTAAGACTAAAGATACATTAAATATAAATGAGGTGTATTCTCTTTGATAAATAATTTTATTTTTCTCTTTATTAAGTAAATTTATTTTATATTGTTGAACCTTGTTTTAACAATCACTTTTTAAAGAAATGAAGTAGAACCCTGAAGTTTATACTTATGTCAATTATAAATGTAGCATTCTATATATGAATAATACCACTTTCCAGAAACTTTTCAAACATCCCATACTGTATATTTATATAAGAAAAGAAAATTTAAAGCACTTTACATAAAAATCTGTAAAGTTAGATAATCAAATTTAAAATGCATTCATCAAATTAATTTGTATAAATAAAATTACCTGGATTTGAAACATATTTACTGAATCATCAAGAAAATGGATTTCTACTGACATCATACGTCCTACTCTTTTTGGTTCTGGAGAGGAAGATACACAATCCATACCACTTGGACTACTTTGAGAATGGGGTAAAGATACCCCTGTTTCTCTCGACGACATTTTTCAAATATATTATTCTTTTCACTGACAAAAGAGATTAAATTTAAAATTTTTAACTTTATTTATGTATTTTATATAATTCAAATCAATTAAAGAAATATTTATAATAGCTTATTCATTATTTATTAAATATTAATTTTAATTATAAATTTATATCCCTAGCAGATAAGAGTTAAAATGGAGCACCAAAGACATTTAATATGCTTACAAAGAAACATTTTGATGCATCTGAATAAAAACAGATTCATTTCTTTCATATAAAAATACAGGTACAATCTACATATAAAAATACAGGTACCCTATAACACTGTTGATAATTCCGTTTTATATGAATTTCATGTTGTACAGTACAAGTCACTTAGATTTTACAAATACGTATGCCAGGCTGTGAATGGCTCATGTATTTGTAAAATCTAAGTGACTCGTACAACATGGAATTCATATAAAATGGAATGACCAACAGTGTTATAGAGGGGGTCAACTGTAATCCTTAATACATGCAGTTAATTGGTTCTGCAATTATATTGCATATATGGAAACCACACATATCAAATTAACAATCAATGGGAAATAAATTAATTCACAAATAAAATCATTAAGTTGTTTGAAATCATAACATTTAAATTTAGATTTGCTTGGACATACATACAAGAAAGACTTCAGCTGTACACGAGGTATTTAGCCAGTGGAAAAAAGGGTAAGGGAAAGGAGAGGGAAAGGAGGAGAGAGAGGAGATAGATAGTAGAGAAAGGTAGGATCCCTCTGAACAGCATACGTATGGCTACAGTACCCTCTATGTTTGATGTTGGCATACAGTTTTTAGGCTAAAAGGCCACAGTCTCCCGAAGGGTCTAAAAGAAAACCCGAGTGTAGCAAACACCAATGATTCAGTGCCACCATGAATAGCTAAGTGTAGAGGTCAGTGTCAAGTGGCTGTTAGTAGGAAGACTTATAACTACTTAATGCTAATGAAACTGAACGTGAGTGTGAATCTTAATACTCCTTAACAGCTAGACAGACAGCACGATAAAACAAACAAACACAATAACAAACTAGATGAGACAAACAGACTGACAAAAGACAAACATGCAAGACCCCAAATTTTTTATTTTTATTTTATTTTATTTTTTTAAATTTTGTTTTATTTATTTTATTTTTTATTTTTTTAAACATTAACTTACTCACTAACTAAACTAACCTACCATAACTTAGGATGAGAACCTAACCAGAAATCAAGCTAAGAGTCCCTAAGATTTGCTTGGACAGAGTAAAAACATGGAAAATGAAAAAAGCAAATTAAAAAACATATCTATATAGAATTATTAATTAATTAAAGATTTTAGACAAAGTACAGCAGCATAGTATAGTATAAAAATAAAAACAAATCAGGGAAATAACATTAAAAATTCATTATGCGGTATTTAGACTAATCACTAAAGTAGACCAAACAAAAAATCAAAATAAAAACTTTTTAAATTAAGTAAAATATTTATCAAACATCACTCTCAAAACTTAGTATCTTCTTTTTTCTCTATTGAGTTTTCCATAAAAGTTAAAACATGAAAACAAAAATGTTTGTAGAAATTATATTAATTAAATGTGAAAATAGGAATTAAACTATCTGAATAATAGTATTGCACTAGGACAATAAAGATTTCACTTCTTCCTACTAACTAAAAGTGAGCTGAAGTGGAAAGGATCAGTTTAGCATGGCTAGCTCTGAGCTGTGTTGAACTGGCAATGTTGAACTTCCCTCAGAACAAACGCATACTGATTGAAACCACACATATTGAGGGTTATCTGCATAAAACTATTTAAACTACCAATAAATTAAACACTTTAATAAACATTTTTGGACTCAGAACTGTAAAATGCAAAAAATTGGGGTTTTTTTCTGTATGGATGTTGTTGGTATAGTGTATGTAGGAACATGATTTTGTTTACTCTATTTCAAGCTTAATAACGCCTGTGCTTTTTATCAAAAATTTTTTAAATTTTGCAGGGAGGTTTTTTTATTAGGAGGATTGATGCTATTAAATTTTGGTGATTAAAGGTCAAGGGGGTGGGGAGATACAAGGGGTCGTGTGTATCTCCAGTAGAGTCAGACTTAATAACAATTTTACTCGTTTTAGCATTTACAATTTTTTAAAATAAAAACCCATCCCTACCCTCAAAATAAGCTTTTTGCCATTTTATAATAGTTCAAAAACATAAAAAGTTTGTAATAAAAAAATATTATAACAGATAGCACCACCAAATGTTTCTGAGAAAGTTAAGCAACTCATTGCTGGATTGATTGTCATGCTGTGAATATAGATAAAAATTCATTACTTTAATTCAACTTCATTTTCAGTGTTGTGGAAAATATCTCAAATGTCTCCAGTTTGTGGTTACTGAATGTGCATTTTAAAAGCTTTGCCTCTGCCCATCATGGAAACACCCCTTGTTCACTTGCATATTATGTTACAGCTGTACTATGTTTGTTTTTATTAATATCATATTTCTAAAAATTCCATCCGCCATTCTGCATGCATTGATGGTACTTATTATACAAAAATACTCAGATATTAATAAAATTGTTGCAGGCATACTATGTGTATCCACAAATCTTCTCATGCATTGTTTTAATTGCAAAATTTATATATAAGATGGCAAAGATGAATAAGAGAAATAGCCCACAAAACAATCTAGCTGCAAAATTTCAAAATGTGTCTTTGGAAGCATTACCACCAATTGGTGTTTTTTGGGATATTGAAAATTGTCATGAAGGAGAAATCGATCATAGCTTTTGTCTAGGCTATAAGAGAGAGATTTTTTCGTGGACATAGAGAAGCAGAATATTTGAATATCATATTGATATTCCTTGAGCCTTTATGCTAAAGATCTACTTGTTAAGCCTATATATGTCAGATTTCTATCAAATCTGCTGTCATAAAGCAGTATGGAATACACTCTCAGAAGTTCTGCTGTTTTCTATCTTATCCTTACTATTGGTAAAGATAAGAAAGTTGGCAATGTTCCGAACTTTGAACTCACTTCAAAGTTCGGAACATTGCCAACTTTCCTATAAATACAAAATCAAACATTCTATAGATCAACGGTTCCCAACCTTTTTCAGGTGGCGACCCCTTTTTATAAAAGCCAAGTGTCCCGCGACCCCGATACAATTGAAAAAGGCATTTTTAATAAGGTAATTAAAAAAACAACGAAATTAGTTTTTTTCTTTAAATTTTATTAAAATTGTTTAATAATTTAATGCGATGGTTGAAATTGCAAGTTATTAACCAGTTTCAAAATTCGCGGGAGAGTTTTTGTTAATGCCAATCTCATGTCATTCTCAACATTTAATTTATTTCTCTCAAACTCTCAACACATGTTTCAACCAACTGTGACAGAATAGCGTACCTAGATTACACTTATTTTAATTTAAAAAAAATATATGAAATTATTCAAACTTCAAGACACCATTAAAAATAAAAATTGCATTATAGTGAATATTTTTTTTAGTTTACTGTATAAGTTGGCGACCCCACAGAAAGCCCGTCGCGACCCCCTTCTGGGTCGCGACCCATAGGTTGGGAACCCGTGCTATAGATGTTTGATTTTGTATTCAATTGATGCAGACCCTGAATGTGACATATGTTTGTTTATTATTGTGCTGGAAAGTGTGAGAAAGATATGATTTTTCTGTGTTAGTTCCAGTTTACACGTTCAATAAATGTAATATTTACATTTTTCTACCAAAATTTTTTAAATTTGTAACGTAAAATTATAAAAAATCTATGCATTCTAATATTTCAGCATTGAATTCTATAGGTTTATGTTATTTGATTTAAAACTGGCCTATTAATGAAGCTAAAAGTGTTCATCAGTTTCATTAAACGTTTGTGCTGGAATTTATTATGGTTGTCTTCTTATCTTACATTATTAAGTTTTGTTATATAGTAAGTTAGAGGAATAACACAAATGCCATAAAATGGACAGTTTGACACTTTGACACTTACAAAATGTTGTTGTAGAATAGCACTTTGCTATTCTACAACAACATTTCATTTAATGCTGTATTGTAATTTCATCTTGACAGCATTTTAAATTATAAAAAGAAATTTCAATTAAACATGACCAACAAATCTCATTTGAATTAACCAGAGCATTGACAAAAATATCTACTATTATTATATAATGTACAACACAGTTTATTTGTAATGACAGCAATTGTTGTTTTCAACAGCAAATATGAGATGTCACTGATTTGAAGATTCATCTCTGTTTCAGACAAGTAAAAAAAGATTTTAAAAAGTGTATCTTAGAATTAAAAAAAATAAAATAAGTATTATTAAAAGCAATGTTTTCAAAATGAAAGTTTTGATTTAAAATGATTTTTAAAAAACCATTTTAAACTTTAATTAATAATATATATTTTGACAGTAAAAATATTATTTGAAACCATCTATCAATGTTAAATGATATTAAATGATGTCAACTGGGAGGAAAGGATATTAAATAACAACAAATGGCAATTCATCTGTAATCATTTACTTTAAAAGAACTCTTAAATAAGGGAAATGAACAAACCAAAATAGCCAAACAACATTTTAAAGGAATATATATAACCTTTAAATTCCAGCAATATATTTTTTTATTGTGAACAAAAATCATTTCAGAAATGATAAAATTACATTTTCTACTAGAATTTTGATTTAAATGAGTGAACTAATGGACAATTCATATTCTAGAGTAGAATATGTTTTATAACATAATCTTTTGTATATTGGAAAATAACTTTAGAAAACTCAAATGTATTGTTCTTTATAGTTTGATTCACAACCCTCACAATATCAGAAGTTTTCAAACACCATTAGAAAATTTGTGATTAAAACAAAGCTACATATTTGATATTTTTACCATCTACTTGTCATAACAATTAAAAAAATGTCTTGATCAGATATCCTCAAGAATCGAATAGTTAAAATTTGGATTAGTAAAACTGGCTGAAAAAATTTATAATTATAAATGTTAAAAGATAGCAGAACAGAGACATTAT